ATGCAGGTTTTTGCATAGGGCAGTTGAGGGAAGGAGGAAGGAAGGAAGGAATGCTTTGAAACACTGGCTGATTTGACTGCAGAGTCATACACTGGCAAATCTCGCTGCATTTTCCAATGCTTCTGGGGAGGTTTAAAGTCAATGGTCAGTGTCTTTTGACTTAGGTCCGTCTCTGGCTATATATGAAATACTGACAAACTGTTTTCCATTTTCCATTTCAGAACAGCAGCGATCTTGAAGGCAGTGATGGTTGTGGTGATGATTCTGACTGAACCAATAAGCGTCTGGACCTGGGACCCTTACTGCCTGCAGCTCACTTTGTCTACAAACAAGTGGCCTTCCTAGTCCAAGAACCCAGTAAAGCAGAGGTTTGCGTGCATGCAGCACAAGAACTGGATACCCAGGAAAAACTGAGCGGGGAAAACAGTGCTGTAGAAAGAGTAAAAGAAGCTGTTGGTACCACTGACTGATCCACCTGCCTGGTATACTTGAAAAAAGTGTAACAAGAAAGAAGCTTTCTAAAAGATTCTTGTAATGCAGAATGTCTTAATTGCTATTTGAATAACATTTTTATTACGTGTTTACCTGGAAGTAGTATTTTAAATATGTATAATCTTTACATAAAGATGGGGAAAACCATTTTAATATACTTTTTGATGATTATTATGAAATTATGACTCCATGAACTTTCAATTTAGTTTTTATTTTCCTTTCACCTTTAATTAACCTGATCTCTAAACATCATTTTAAGCTTTTATCTTCCATGTCATCCATGACTTTCCTGTCGAATAACACGTGTTCATTATCATGCTAACTGCTATGAATTCTTTTGCTATTGAATCAACCTTTCCATGTTTTGTAAAGCTTTGCAAGCCCAGAGGAAATGATTCCTTACTCAGGGAGAGGTCTTAATGTTGGAACATGGAACGAACCACATATTTTAAGATAAGACCTTTTATTTGAAAGGTGTCATCCTCCCTTTATTGTCCTCATGCTTGGGCAGGCTCAAGAAGGTAGATCCGCAGCTACGTACGTAGTTGGGCATCCACTGCCCGAGGTGTTGTTTCACAGGCGTGCAGTTGAGATGTGAGGAACACATGTAAATTAATTGCTGGGACTGCAATTCAAAGCGTGCAGCTATGAAAGTTCTAGTGTTCCCTGGGGTGGCTCACTAGATGTGTTGCTGCTGGTTTAGTATTACTGTTTCTAGTGGAAACTAGCTTGCCATCTGCTAGATTCTGGGTTGATCCAACTTAGCATGTGTGAAAGGAATGGTGCTGACTTCCTCGGGGCTTAATCAAGTCTGCATCTGCTTTGTATGTGTGAATTCGTAATTTCTATCAAGCTGCTCAGAGTAGAGGAGTGTGCAGTGATCAGTGGTAAGGGAAGAGCATGTCTGAGTGTTGTCTTCCTCTGGGAAATTGTTTTAATTTTCTGTGTTCCGAGATCTACATACTCTGGAGTTCTCCTTTCTGTCCTGTCACCTTGGGATACAGACTAGTCCCATGCCTGAAGATGTGCATCAAAACTGGGGGTCCATACCGAGTATGATAGTTACTTCTTAGAGGAGATGGTTCTTTGCGCCTTCATCCCATGCCTTCTGATTTTATGCCTCCTGGATTTTTTTTTTTTTTTTTTTGGCCAAAGTACAGCTGTCCCTTGAAAAGGGATTTGCTTGTTTCATCTGGATTTTAATCAGAGCTTTTTGTTTATGTGAAGGCCTGACTGTTTTGGAATGACAGGAGTGTAAGTGTTCTGGAGAGGGACTCTACCTGGGTTTTCTTTTCACATCCCTTGCTAACTCATACTGTCGACCTAGTCTGTATTAGTCTTCTGTCCAAAGCTCTGTCTTTCTGTCCCTTTCAATCTGAGAACAATGCCTTTATTTACTTAAAAATAGAGGCATCAAAACTGACACCAGTGGCTCAGCTGAAATCAACAGGAATTTCTATTGGTAGCCTGTGGAGAAAACAAAATAAACCCGGGGTGTTTCTTACCTGCTGTTAACACGTGCGGTTCTGTTTCATGGGGGCCGTGAGCTGGGTGTTTGAGCTCCGGTTTCAGTGCGGGTAAGTGGCTTTGTGGCTCGGGGTGTGCGTACAAATACACAAAGGCCCTGAAGCGACTCAGGCTTTGAAGCTGCCCCCTGGGGTGTGTGTGGGGCGCTCGCCTCTGTCAGGGCAGGCGGGGCGGCGGGCTGACGGCAGTGCCCGCTCAGCTTGGGGCCAGCGGCCCGGCCGCTGCCGGAGCGAGGGGATCCGGGGCAATCTGGGGCTCTTTGAGGCTTTTTGGGGTTCCTGGGGGCTCTTTGGGGCTCCCTCAGCTCCCGGCACCGCCGCCATTAGCGGCGCCCCGCGCATGTGCCGCGTTCCCCCCCCCCATGCCGCAGGTGGCACCGCCCTGTGCTGCCCCCCCGTGGGGCGGCGGTGGTACGGCCCCGCGCCGAGCTCCTGAGGGGGGGAGCCGCCGCGCGTGCCCGCGGGCGAGGAGGCGGCCGGCGCGTGCCCGCAGGGGCCGCGGGAGCGCGCGGCCGCTCGCTGAGGGGAGGCGGTGGCGCTGGGCGGCCTCCTCCTCCTCCTCCTCCTCCTCCTCTTCTTCCGCGGCTGATTTCGTTGTAGTTCCAAGGCAGCCCTCACATACGGACCGAGATGCCAGCAGCCCCGGCCGTCTGTTACTGTGTGCAACACAAGCACTGCGCGTGTACCCACGGCACCTCCCAGAAAAAAATGATGTTCAAATCGCTTCCCGTTACACCCAGGCGGGCAGCTCTTGCTGCTAGGTGCAGAAGCAGCCTCTATTTTTAAATACTTTCTTTCAGAATTACTTTTGACAGGGTAACGGTTTGAAAAAAAAGAAAAAAAAACATTTAAAATAACACATACAAGTCGTATATATATTAATGATTTATCGTGAAGTATTTTCTATCGAATATAAGGTTTTAGTTTTGTAATTAAAGATAATTGCTTTAATGAGAATTTCTGTAATTGTAAGATTATATCTAATACCAATTATTATACGCCCTAAAAGCCCTCCGGAGGAGATCCTGGCACTGTCGGTGCTGCACGTCTCATTTTCCATGCGTTGGGCTTAACGCCCACACCCTCTGTGCCCAATTTGTTCATTCCTTTAATTGATGTTGTTGCACCAAGTTTCTCCTTTCTGGTCATTTGATACTTGGATGGAGATTGGTTGCATCATTATCACCTCTCCGTAGGATGTTATTTTAAAACATCTTTGTGTTGTCAGTTTAAAGAGGTGATAAATACATTCTAGACCAGTGTGCTGATCCGTTTGCATCTTCACAGCTTTTAGGTATGTAATTGTCTGGTGGGGTGCTAGGAGGTTGAGTTGACCATCTATGTAACAGCGTGCATTGTCGCTTCTTTCTGTTTTGTTTCTAATGTTCTGCTGTTAAAATTACTGAAATGGTGATTTGTAAAAGTTCCTTTGCAGGTGAAATGCTTCCTGTTCCTCACATGGCTCCACAGATCAGCCAGGAGCGAAGCAGAGAGCAAAACAAACCAAATTCACCAAGCCTGCATAGCTCCTCACCTGCTTCACGCAGCAGGAACCTGACAGTTTCTTCAGCAGGTATGACCAGCAGGTCATGATAAGAACCATGAGCTGGCCCAAGCTGCCAGTTTCCAAGATACCCAAGCAACGGGTATCAGATTTGCACAGTATATTGTATGTGGCTTTTAATGCTTGTTTTATATGTACTGAAATTGCTGCTGATCTCTGTTCTGCATCATTAAACATGTTCTTTTGAGTGAGGAATTTCATCCTCAGAATGAAGAAGGTAACAGTCATCTTATTGGAAAGTCTAGACAAGATTAATTGTTGGCACTTTGCTGCTGCTGCTTTCTCTTGAAATTTTACATCCATAAAACACGTTTTTTTTTTTTTTTTTTAATTTATTTTTCAATTCATGATGGCTACCCAACTCTCAGTTTAAAGATTCTTTTCATGGATTCTCGTTGAATCAAATTAATTTCATGTTGTGGAGTAAGTTTAGGATGTGTGTGCAAGGTTGCAGGTACGTTGGTATTTATTTACAGCAAGAGGGAACACCATGCTAACCTCTCTCACGGTGAGGCAGTGTTTTCCTGTGTATTGAGACTTTGTGGATGACAGCATTGCTCGAGCCTGGGAGGAAGGAGCAAATAGTTTTACTATTTTTTACAGAGGACTTCACAGAGCACTAACAATTTGTTTCAAATTGCCCAACTGAACTATATAATTGCTTAAATCTCACTTTACAATAAAAGTTTGTGTTCATTTAAATTTAGAATGCTCAGTAGCTAGCAGTATCTCTCCTGTGTCTTTTAGAGATTCAGACTATGCAACGTAATTTTTCTTGAAGAAAAGGAATGAGAAGGAATCAGGCAGATTCTCTGGGGAAGTAGAATTTGTATTTCTAATGATATCCTAGAAGGAGATTTAATTAAATAGAATCAATTATTTTAACATTTTATGGAACATATTTAGATTAAAGGAGGATCACAATGAGAATTTGTATTGCCTGTGCTTACTCACCAGCAGCTGCGGAATGCTTACATGTGTTAATAAAAATGCCATCAACTAAATTGTATGTGAACTTTTTAGGGGATTCTGTCCATCTGCCATTTGGCAGAGCATTTCAGTTTTATGAAAATTCTCACTCTATCAACTCTGCTCTCCTGATGATGTTTAGAGATACTATAGTTTAGGAGGAAAAAATAGTTCTTGAGAGAGAGTATCAGTGCATCTCAGACATCTCTATAGATTTAGTGTAACACTGCCCCATAGCAAAGTTCCTCGTAGAGCTTTATGTAAATCTACAAAAGATGGGTTATTCATTAGATATTAATAAAGTGCAACTTCAGACCGTGTAGAATATCTGCAAGGACTGCAGAATCGTTTGTATTGGTTATTTGTTTAACACTTTTCGCAGTGCCTGTCATGTTTTTGTGTTGTGCAATAGTAATAATGATGTTCATACTTGAAGGAAAACTGAAATTCTGCGGCGAATAGCAACACTGAGGAAAGCAGGTTTATGGTCTCTGAAACGTCTGCCCAAACTCCAAGAGGCCCCACGACTCAAATCACACCATGATTACCTTTTGGAAGAAATGCAGTGGATGGCAGCAGATTTCGCTCAAGAAAGAAGATGGAAGATGATAAGTGCCAAGAGAGTAATGTGAATTTGATATTTCCTACTAGAAAAGGAGTTGGGGGTAGGAAGAATAGGCAGCATTTTCATGGTTAGGACTTAGTCACTGAGGGTGTATGAATTTTGTTTTCACAGTGAAGAGGCAAATTTAGGGAGTATCTGTAAAGGGATTGTATTTTTTTCTTTCTTTAGAAACACGTTTATTAGGTAGAATACATACAGTGAACACTTAAATAACTGTATGTCTTTGTTCAGCTAATTGTAAGCGTGTATCGTTACCATGAGGATCTGACACTTCATAAGGAAACATGCAAAAAGAGAGAAGAGAAGCGGCTGAAGGCTATTGCTGCTTTTACTGCTAGAGAAATTGAATGTTTTTGGTCCTCCATTAAGCAGGTAAATACCTCCCCTCCACCCCCTCCAAATAAGTTCTGAATAAAAACCCAGTGGATCATGAAAACAAGAGTTTTACAACTGAACTTTGTTCAGTCCTCTTGGTGACTATTATACCTTGGTAAAGATAGCTTCATGTTACGATTGCATGAATAATATGAGGCCTTATATGTCATGAGCGTTTTACTCAACCTCATTGGTGCATTTGGCTCACTGTGAACATAAAAGTTTTAATGCAAGTTATTTTGGGATAACTCTGAAGTGTTATGTGGATAACTGCTATTCGTGGTCAGTTTTGTACATGCTATTCTTGGAGTGCTCTACATTGTAGCCATGTCTGGATGTCTGTCTGACCATTGAAGAAATGTTAAACAATTCTCAGATGTATTTAAAGCTAAGTGCATTCATATTTGTCACTTCCTTCTGCTATTTTTCCCTTGCACTCTCTCTACTTTAGGTGGTAGATTTAAAATTACAAGGAGAGCTAGAAGAGAGGAGAAGGAAAATATTCAACTCCCAGAACACCTCAAAAAACGGTAATAAGGACCTCAGGCTTTTTTTTAGCATAATATTGTGGGACGTGCCAGTAGTAACAACATAAACTTACCAAAATAAATATTAAGAAAATAATATTTTGTTTTTGAGTTATAAATATCTCCTTTCTCTAGTTCTCTGACTTCCTGTGTGTTACTAATGCTTTGGTAAATGCACTGTAAAGGCTTTTTGTTGCTGAGTTCTTGTTTGTATCAATCAGGGTCCCTTGGGGCCATGAGTGAGACTGAATTCACTAAAACTGTCATATGTGCACCTGTGTCCCACTGCAGGTTGCCCTTGTTTATATAATCATTTGTCTCAAGCTGTTTTTTACGTTATTCTTATAGTGTAGATTTCTTATGTTCTTTAGACTCTGGCTTAGCTGTAAATGGTGTCAAACCTTTTAACGGATTGCTCAGTTCAGATGTGGCTGCACCATTAACTTTATTACTTTGTGCAGAAATAAGAGACTCTATGATCAAGAAAGAGAGCCTTCAGGAAGATGTGGTGCTTACAGACCTACTCATGCCCACCCCAAAAACACATATGGGAGATTTAGCAGACATGGCTGCTGTTGCAGAAGCATTGTTACCCAAAGGCAGTGCTCAAATCACAACAGCAGTAAAAAGCATTACTCCGTCTTTGTTACACGGCACTCTTAGAGAGTATCAGAAGACTGGACTAGAGTGGTTGGCAAAGCTCTAGTAAGATGAGTCTCAACTGGTATTCTGGCTGATGAAGCTGGACTTGGTAAAACAGTGCAAGTTGTAGCTTTTTTTGCCCACCTGGCATGTAATGAAGGTATGAGATATAGACCTTTTAATAACGATTTTAAAAGTTCAGTTAGTGAATGTATTTTCAGAAAGGAAAAAATAATGCTTTTAATATGTGTAATTTAATGAAATGAATCTGAAATGCTTTGTATACAAAAGGAGAGACAACTCCTGCCATCGAGTTTTAGTGCATGTTGTTTGTATGTGCACAGTTGCCTTTTATGTAAGCTGTGAAGTGATGTGTAGTCACTTCCAGTTATGTTGTACTTGTTATCTCTGTAGGTAACTGGGGTCCTATTCTTGTTATTTCACAAAACTTTAATGTACTGAAGTGGGTGACTGAACTGAAATGCTGGTGTCCTGCTTTGAGAATTCTTCTGTACATTGGGGATCGAGGAGAACTTCTAAAAACTAGACAGGTATTATGAAACATAGTTTCATCTACACACGTTCTGAGTAAGGTAAGCATTACACTGAAAGGAAGTATCAGGCTGAGTCGCACTTAAACCATTGTGGTTAAAAACTTGATCATAGTGATCTTACAATCTCCTCCTTTTCTCTATTGTTACGTAACATACAGAAAGCACAAGAAGAATGAAGATACCTTCTCATCTCATGAATGCTGGCTAAAAAGCAGAGTGTGGTATTTACCAATAAAGCTTGTTTTGATGACCAGCAGTGGCTAGCCTTTTTAGTGCATATTTTTTTATTGGCATGATGTTCCTTGTACAGATGTTTTTGACTAATGACTAATCTCTTCCATCTTTGTTTCTATGACTTTTACCTCATCTTAGTATTTGCAGAAGCTTATTAAGAAATTGTGTTGAGTGTATCTTTATTTTTTTGGTTGAGAAACTGATGTATAATCCAGAAGAAGCAACAGGAAGTCTGGTGTGTGTTTTGTAGTTTAGCAACCATGTATTTGTTTCCAGGCTTCAAGATTCCATTACACTTATTTGCAAAATATGTTTCTTCCTGTTTTTCTTTTTTTTCCCTCTTATTTTTATTTTTTCCGACTTCCATAGTTGCAAGGAACTTCTTGGATTCCTCCAATGACGCTGTTACAACACACAACTTCTAGCCCTCTTTTTGCTCTGAAATCTGTCAAAAAATATATCCCTTTAGGATGTTTGTGTTTTTATGTTGTAGGAATGGATTGACCCCAACAATTTTAATGTGTGTGTTGCCTCCTGCAAGCAAGTCTTTGAAGACTATGAGGCATTCATGAAAGTGCAATGGAGATACCTAGTTTTAGACGAGAGGCAAAATGGTAATAATCTGACAGAAAAGCACTGGGATGCAGTTTTCAGTCTCCACAGGTCTGGAGTATTCATTATAAATTTTCCTTTTGATTTTGTCTTAGATAATTCCTGAAATAGCATCAGCACTTAAATTTTTTTTTTTAATCTTCTTGCTGTGATTTGTTATCTTCATCGTTTATAGTGATCACCGTTTACTCTTGATGGATACACTTCTGCCTACTGCCCTAAAAGATCTGTGGACGATTGCCTGTTTCCTGATCCCAGAGATTTCCAAATTCTATTTGGATTTTACAAAGGTAGCATCTGCAGAAGGGAATGAGGATCATTACCAGACAGTGGCAATAAGACTGCAGAGAGTATGTCTCCCTTGAGGATAGCGTCTTAATTCTAGTATCTTTTTCTCTGGGGGAACACAATTAAGAAATTATTGTTTTGTATTCTTTTAGGTAGTTCAGTCATTTATTTTGCGGAGGTCCAAAATTCATGTCGAGAAGCAGTTAGCGAGGAAATATGAGCATGTGCTGATGTGTACTCTTTCTAATCGACAGAAGTCAATGTATAAAGACATCCTGTCTCAACCCAGGTACATCTGTTGAGTTGTTCTTAGTTGCTCAATTATTGAAATGATAAGTTAGGAAGCATTCCAGTTACAGTAAGAGAGCTTAACTGTTGGCATACTATTTTTAAGTGAGTCATGGGCAAACCAAAAGATTCAAATGTGTGGCACAATCATAGTGCTGTGCAGGCTAATCATGTTCTACACAAAGTGGCAATTGCATTCAGAAATTTCTTCCTTCTGTGTTTTTATTTTATTTTATTATTTTATTTTTATCTAATCCTTTTACAAGGTGAAAAGGAGAATAAATGAACAGTATTTGCAGATTATGGGACAAAACACAGTATTCTGTATTTATAACTTAGGCAACTGAGCATGTGCCACAGCTTCTGTTTAAATTTAGCACTTGTTTAGGAACTGAATATCCTAGTTTATATTTTACTTCGCTTTCCTAATGTGCCTTGTTTACATTTTACAGTGAATTTGATGATTTAAAGTGGTATTTACTTGGGCATTAAAAAACATGGCCTTAATATTGACAACATGTATTTGTATATTATTTCATGCCACTTTCATTTGAAGTTATGGGTATTTAAGAAATGCAGGTTTATAATAATGTGAGTTTTCAAACCAGAATGTATCATATAAATTATTAAAAGTTTGTGTGGATGTGAGGGAAGCTGGAGGAATGGAAGACTGCATTTTTAAAGTCATACTACAGTAAGTTCAATAAATTGGTTTTGTCAGGTTTATTTAGAAAAACAATTTAAATGCGCAGAAAGACCTAAGCTCCTAGAAAGCACTTTTTTAAAACATAATTATATTTTCATTTTAAATAACAGAACTCAAGAATGTCTTAGAAGTGGGCACTTTGTCAGTGTTCTCCATATTCTGATGCAGCTCCTACGGGTGTGTAATCATCCTGATCTGATAAATCCCCGGCTTCCCAGCTCTTCCTTTGTGCTAGAGACACTGGAGTTTAGAACTGCTTCTCTAGTGCTGAGTGCATTAAAACGGGATCTTTGGAAGGTACGTAGGGAAGTAACTCTCTTGTGTTTGATTTAATTTGACTGGGAGAGCAGGTGGTTTAAGAGTACAACATATTACAAGTCAGGTTCCAATAAATTTCAAAATCTGTGAATTGCTAATTCTTTTACTTCTTAGAAGCAACCACGATGATTATAAATAGTACCTGCTGACTTCATGGTAGTACTGAATTTAGTAGGTAAACTGGGTACTTGCTGTCCTTATCATAGAAGGTCAGACTATTTTGCAACTGTTTTCCATTTTCTGACTTTGCTTAAAGTTTCCAGTTAATCTAAAATATTGGATCTTGGAATTGAGGAAAAAGTACCATTCTTGTCCTGTCCTCAGGAGCAGCAAGGGCATAATTAAGTTCTAAAGATGAGAAGCTGTCTCATTCCACAGTTTGGTTGTAAGCATAGTCAGTTGAAGTTACATCGCAAGAGATTTCATCCTTTTTTTTTTTTTTTTTTTCCTGGGAAATTCAAATAGTTATTTAATCGAGCCTGTTGGAAAACTATTTTGGGGTGGGAGGAGGGTGTCAGAGGCTTGTGGAGGAAGTAGGGTTAATGTATCAAGGTAGGAATGGATGAGACTGAAATCTCAGTTCTACGAAGACAAATGTTTTGATTACAAGCATTGGATTAACTGCAGAGCTTGTAATCTGAGTGTGCTGTCCTGTTGTTGACTCTCAGTAACATGAGCATAATACTCTATTTTCATGGTAGAGGTTGCTGAAACCTTTTAAAGTAACTGCAGCTGCTCTCTGCAAAATCACGTGATACTTGACTCTTCTAAGTTTTCATTTACTTCTGGCTTCAACTGTGAGCTTTTTAATCATCAGATAACGTGGAATATTATTACTACTTTTTATAGCTGCACTTGAATAGTAGTAGAATATTTCTTTATTTTGTTTTTCTTAAGCACACAGACCTGTCTCTCTTTGATGTGACTGGGATGGAAGACAAAATGACTCGCTATGAAGCACAAATGCTGCCAAAACTGAAAGTAACTAGGAAGCTTATTGAAGAGATCTACTGTTCTCCTTCATCACCCAGACTCGAGCCAGTGAAACTCAAACCGAATAGGTATGCAGTGTTCTAGTGATTTTTAAGTACTGGGTGAAAATGAATAATATTTGTGAGCGCTGAGAGGGTACATTCAGATGCATTTGTTTGTCTTGCTATTTTGTTTCCAAACTGATTGCTGATAGGACTCTATACGAGTCTTCTGAGGGAAAGCAAACTGCCTTTTACCACTTGATAGTTTCTCTCAGTTATGAAGGCTTGCTTGTGATCCTTCTTGCCAAACTCAGAAGCACAACAGACTTCAAGTCTGTTGAACATTTTAAGTGTTTCTGCTGTAGAGAGTTTCCTAAGCATAATAATTAAATCTTCTCCTCAATTCATTTTAACACTAAGATGCACTTGCAATGCACTTAAATATACTTTTTTTTCTTTTTTCTTTTTCTTTCTATGGGTGGAAAAGAGGCTTGCTGATGAATTTTGACCTTTTGTTTATTCTATTGAACCTACTTTCTGAAAATCAATTGGGAGAGTCATTTTTCAGTCTTGGACTTCAGTAACCATACTCTGCTTTTATCAGATTAATGTATTGTACAGTGTTTACCTAAACATTGCTCTGACTTACTCTACAACAGAATTATATTAGGTCCAAGACAGCTTGTGTAACACATGGCTGCAGCAGGTGACAAGGAGAAGATTCTGCACTAGTTCTATTAGGCCAGAATGAAGCTTTGTCAGTTAATGAAATCTAAGAGTTGGGAGAGATTTTAAAAAAAGTCAGACAGAAACAGATCTCATTCTTTTGCTGTTTAGACACCTCTAGTTTCCCTGAAGTTGCGTATATGAAACAATTACTGGGAAGTCAGCTGTTAAAATTTCAGTGTGTTTTTAAAACCAGACTCTATGAATAATCTGTAGACATTCAAGATGCATGGAAGTAGAGATCTGCTTTTTGTCCTTACATTGCACCCAGCCACAATTAAGATTTTGCTTTGTTAAGAAGTTTGACTTTTATTAGCATCTTTTGGGGAGGTTTTTTGCTGTTTCCAAACTCCAAAGATGATAAAGGTATTTGGGAGATCTGTGACGCTTGTATTCCTTCACATAATCTTTCAGAGATGGCTGGAGCCTCAGAGCATTCAGCACACCTTACATTTAATAGTATATTGTGTTTTCTCTGCATGCTCTAAGTCCACAAGAGAAGCAAAATCTCTCCTGCTGTATGCTCTGCAGCTCTTCTAGGTGAGATTACTGATTAAAACCAACTATTTGTTTTTTAACTGAATTTGTGTATTAGGATGAAGGAACTAACAACTTCCTCAGGTATGATTTTTATATGTGTAGTAAGATGGATTTGTTAATTTTTAGGTTATTTACACCAGTGCAGTATGGACAAAAACCCAAAGGCAGGACTCGAGTCTTCACAAGGTCTCAGTTGCAACAGACAGAGGACACAGCAATGGTTATGGCAGACCACCATGAGGAAATAAAAAGACAACAACCTCTTGCCATGTTTTCAGAATTTCAACATAGGAAAGGTGTGCAGTACATATTATAAAGCGTTGCTTTCTGACTTTCTCATGTAATTAAATATTTTTATATTGTTGAAAGTTGGAGGAGAAATAAGGTTGTACTGTTCTAAGAGCTTTTTACATTGCTAAAAATGAACAGCGAAGGAGAAAAATCTCTTATCCTGTGGTTGTTTTCTCCAATAACTTTGCATAAAATATACCTGTGCAGACTCCTGAAGCCCTCACAAGGTTTGTACATTATCAATTCATACAAATATACATGTGAAATACCAGTCAAACAGTTAGCATCTAGGAAATTATCCTCACTGAGAGAAGAACATTTCACATGTAGTTTAAGAACAAACAGAGAGACCTAGTCTGTTCGCATTTAAGTGCAACCCAGGAGTCATGTCTGGAGAAAAATTCCTCTTCGCTGGAAATATGGCACATAATAAGTGTAAGGTAAGCGTGCAAAGCTTCTAGTTCACAGTGAGGAAATTATTTTTAAACTTTGCACCTTTTTTGTCTTTTTGTCTTAACAGCCAGCAAGGTAGTACGTGGCCCAATGGCTTCCACTACTGGAGCACAAGAGCGAATTGATCAGCCAGAGAAACCTGTAACATTACAGTTTAGAGGGAAAACTTTTACTTTGTCTTACGGTCAATTCTGTCTGCTTGTTGGTAGACAGTCTTTGAAGCAACAAGGTGTGACATTGTGCAGTACACTTTTATTTTTTAAACAGTAAATCTTTTCCTTGACTTTAAGTTTGTTTCTTTCTAGAAGAGTATGGAGCTTCATCGAAGCTCATTGATCAGCTTGAGCTGTTTTTTTTTTTTTTTTTTTTTTTTTTTTTCCTTTTTAATCATTTTTGAATTATTCAGAAATGGAAACCATGGAAGCTAGAATATCCTAATATTGTAATGTCATGTCTGTGAAATTAAATGAAATTATTTTTCTTCACTAAAATATTTTTCTTGTCTTGCTGCTTTCCTGGAAAAATGAATTTATTAATTCATTTAATTATAACAGTGGATGACTCAAGCACCAAATCTAAATTGATATCTACATGCTGGTGTCCAACTCAGGTATTATGGTAACTCTTTATATGATAGAGTACTTATTTGATTACAATGTAACATATACAAAATTCATGTGTGGTTATCTGTTCACTGAAATAGATGAAGCTTTATTTATTTATTTATTTATTTTAAGTATGCAGCATCCACTAGTCTCTTCTACCTGTCATAGCAGGCTCTTCAATGGTGTTTTGAAATGCCATTATATTTTTTCTGGTAGGCATAGAGTAGGAATGCAGTTTTATTTTCTATTAAATACCAAACTTAATGTTTTTGATGCAAGGACAGATATTATTCAAATCACTTTTTTTTCTTCGTTTGCTTCTCCTTTCATTTCAGTTCAAAGAACACTCACATTAACTAAATTATCTTATTTTCATCTTTCTTCTGCACAGATTTCTTCCATCTGGTCAAAATATGTTCACAAAAAAAAATTATTTATTTATTTATTTATTTATTATTTTTAAAGGGTACCACAGAAGAAAAAAGACAACTAAAGGAACACCTGGACAAAATGTATTTGGGGAATGAGCGTCGTTGTTCCCGAACGCCCTTGTATGGCAGAGACTTGTTAGAAATTTGTTCATGGATCAATGAAAGAAAAAATTCTCAGCAGTATCCTGCCAGGATTAACAAATGGGGCTGGTCTGGCTTTACAAATTGCTTTCCGTATTCAAGTACTTTGGAGATTCTAAAGGATCCCCTGCAAGAACTCATTCTGACATTAAAGCACCAAAAGATTGCCCTGAAGGATATTGTTACTAGGTAATTGAGACAAATGCATCTGCAGTCTTTGCACAAATTTTAATGGGTGTATGCTACCATCCAACACCATCCAAAATAGCATTTAACAGTTTGTTTAGTTGTTTAACATAAATATCCAAAAAAGAGGAGTGTGTTGCCTTGTTTTATTCTTACTGCAGGCTAAATTCATTTATGGTGAATCAACTTCGCATCCCTAATCTATAATTTCAGATCATCCTAAGATTTTAAAACTCTTAATAGTTCCATGGTAATTATTTTCAGTTATATAGCAATTCTCTATTTTCAAGCATGACATATCTTGTTTTTTGTTTTGTTTTGTTTGTTTGTTTTTGTTATGAATTATTGCCAAAAATATGGGAGTAATAAGTTAGAGGGAGGCTTGTCTTGGTAACTGTAGGGGTAGTGGTAATTTCTGTATGTCTTCTGATCTTGAGTGTTTTTATGTTTACCTGGTTTTAATATAAAACTTCCATCTACTGATTTACTTTCAACCACCTTTAGCCAAGTCCTTTATGCTTCCACGGAGACATCTGCATTCTTACTGTTTTTAAGAAGTTAAAATGTTAAAAAATTAATATATTAAAGTTTGCTTTTCTTGTTTAGAGGCCTCTGTGTGTTGCCAGCTGTAGTTGTTGCTCCTCCATGTTTGCATGTAGCAAATCCTCCTTATTCATATATCCATGAAATGAAGGCCTTCAAGTTTAATCTGAAGGAACAACTACTGCCCTTCTTCCATCCAGTGCAGCAGATAGCAAGGCCTCATTTTATACAGTTTCCAGACCCCCTACTGGTGCAACTTGATTCAGGTATTTAAAAAAAACAAACAAAAAAAACAACAAACAACATACACACACACAAAACCACCTTTTACGACTGTGCAAATACAGTTTCTGTAATTGCTAAATGCTGCCTGCAGAACCTTCAAGTTCTTATTTCATTTTCATTTCATTGCCTTATTTCAACAGGCAAGATGCAAGCTCTAGCCGTTTTGCTTCAGAAGTTGAAAGGAAAAGGGCATCGTGTATTGATTTTGACACAGATGATTCCAATGCTTGATATACTGGAGCTTTTCTTAGACTTCCATTTTCTCACATACATAAGAGTTGATAAGACTGATGCTCACAGTTGGCATTATCTGGTAAGAGAACCTCTTACTCAAGTTAATAGTGAATAGATGCTCATAGTGGGAGGGAAAATGCTTAAATGTCATTTAACATATTCAAAGAATTTATTTGCATAAGTTCATTAGTTATTTGTGCAAAATATATGTGTATCTGTAGCACAAAATGTGTAATTATGTACAAAATACGGCACTCATATTACTATTTGATGAAGCATTCAGCGTGTTTCTGAGAGATGTGCCATAAGTTGTCCTATATATAAATATGAGTAATTTGTGCTTGAAATACAGATGTTTTATTTCACAATAGTGTTTAGAATAATTGCTTTTACTTTTTGTGTCTGTAGGTATCTACATTACCAACACTTCAAGCCTAACTCCTGTTTTTATGTTGGTACTTCCTCAGCCTTACTCCAGGGGCTTTTGTTTCTGTAGAGTGCCCTGGCATTGCCTGAGGATAAACTCAAAGTGTGCTCGTTTCCCTCCCCAGTAAGATTTTCAGTATCCTTTGGGGCCTACCGTTTGAGCAAACATTAGTGATATAAAAAAGTTATTAATTTGATTTCAGATTGCCTTATTATGTTTTCTGTCAGATGCACTATAAAACATAAAGGAGTACTTTGGTTTAAAGCAACACAAGTCAGCACAGAGAAAGGGATTCAATTTAGTCAATAGACAAGAAAAATGAAGCATGCACAGAATGTGATAACCCAGTCAGGTGTGCTTAGCCATGGGACAAAAATATGACTACTGTCATTACTGTCATAGATCTGTAGATTTTATCAGGTTGAATGCACCATAAATTGATATTTTTAATACTACATAAATTAATTTTGAACTGTGTAAATTTGTAACGTGGACTCAGATATTTTAAGCTTGCCAACATTTTAAGTTATGTTTAGGAATTAATTATAAAGCAGTTTTTCTGATCTCATTTTTTGAAAAAGTTTGTTCAGAGATTTATGCTTTATTAATGTGAATTTGTAATTAGGTTGTTTGTCTCTGCATTTTAGGAATCCATAAAAAGCTTCAACCAAGACAAGAGATTCTTCTGTGCTATTGTTTCTTCCCGCACTCCTTCTACAGGTGTCAGCCACGTAGATGTGGACACTGTTGTGTTTTATGATATTGATTTAGATCAACAGACGGATACAAAGGCTAAAGAGTGGTGTGATAGAATTGCAAGAGGCAGAGATATTCACATATACAGGTGACTTTTACACTGACAAATAGGTGCTTTAAAATGAAAAATACACCAATGATGTTTCTAGGGGAAACCAGGATTTTTGTCTGAGGTTAACGTTGTCGTCTAAATAATCTGATCTCTCTGTGAAACTAAAAATGAATATAAAGTTTTCTACAGAAATACCTGGTGATCTCTCAACTGGCGTTGTTGCTCACTGTGGTAGCTGAGGAACCCTAGAAATACAACAGTTGAGTTTCAGGAAGTTTCACTGTGTTCTAGGGAACAGTATTTAATAAATTTCTTTGTTTTACAGGCTTGTAAGTGGTAATTCTGTAGAAGAGAGGCTGTTGAAAAAAGGTATTAAACATCTGATTCAAGAAGTGGCTACTCAGGGAGATGATTGTTCAGTAGGATTTTTAACTCAGGTACTTAAATATTGAGAATATGAAGGGTTCTTTGACAATAGGTTAAAAAAAAAAAGTGCTTTACTATATCAGAGTCAGAATGTTAAACTATTTAAAAACTATTTTTGTTGTTTTAATCAAATGAAATCACATTTCCTGCAGCAAAAGGTTTCAAATGTGTCAGTAATCTGACTTGTTTTAAAACTGAGTTTTAAGATGATTAAAAAATCTTCTGGCATGATACATGTTTCATTAGGTTCTTTGTACTGAGTGTGGAAAAGAGAATTCCAAAAAGTTTACAGAAGAGACACAATCTGAGATAAGAGATTACATAGATACAGAGTTGTACAATTCAAGAAATACCATGGCTCCTTTGCAGTTAGAAGAGCTGGCTAGCTTTGTGGATCAGGTATGATGATTTCTCTGGATTACAAAAAGCTTTAGAGATATTCAGTATTTACTATCCTGTGCAACAAGCCATTTCCATTTGGCTTTCATAAAGTACTGATTTCCACTTCACTTACATGAAACTATTCTTTGCAAACAGAAATATTGAAACAATCCTGGGAGGTTCTCAGAGCTTGTTAGCAGATCTGTTCACATGCAGAAACACTGAAGTCACTGAATGTTCTCTTGAAGATTGTGACTTGAATTTGACTAAATTGTATCTTGTGATATAAGCTTGTCTTACAGTCCTATGCTTTGCTGGATGTTTGTGCTTTTCTTAGAGGCCGTGGGTCGGTTTCTTTTAATCCACAAAATGACTATTCTTAGCATTTGCTAAATTCTGTTGGATTCCAATTTGTTTCCTTTTTTTTTTTTTTTGGCTACTAGTGCAAAACCCAAGTAACAGCTTGCTTATTAACAAGCTGTCAAGAGTCTGCAGACTAACTTGGATGGGTTTCTTTCTTTTTTTCAGTTAGCAAAATGGTGGGCAATATTTGGAGTCTACTCTCAGTGATCCTGGTGGAATGTCAAGGAACCAGAATGCTAAAGTTTGGTCCTTGGGTCTCTTTTCTACCTTAATCAGAGTGCCAGTGTTTGCAACTGAAATAAAGACATTATTTTTTTTTCTTGTAGTTGTTTGTTTGCTTTTAAATCACTGGTTATTTATATGTGTTTCTAATTCTAAAGCTAAATAACTAGCAGCTTGACAAAATGTTTTTCTGAATAGCTTACACCAATTGAAAAATATGCATTGAATTTCTTGGAATCATCTCATACTATGAATGATCAAAAAAGCAAGAAAGTCAGCAAGGTAAGGGTCTATATTTCATTTCTGGAGTAATTAATAAAAACAAAAAATAAATTTATAAAACGAGAAGCCCCCAACATTTGCCAGATTTTCTTTCCTTTTTTGTTTGTTTGTTTTTGTTTAGGAGCACTGAAATTTTGCTTGAAATGATTGTGCTCTAAAAACACATTGATTCCTAACTAACAGGTAGACATATTTCACTTTCTCTTTAATGGCATAAGCCCTTGCCCATGAGTGAAAATGCAGTTTAACTAACTTTGCCATCACTACTAGCCTATAGAAAGTGAATTTATGATGTAGTTACCAGGCTCAAATCTGTAGCAATTCATAGCTGTTAGCATTTTTATTGTGAAAAGCTGTAATATTTTAAAGTGTATAAATTTTGTTCCCAAAAGGAGTTAAAAACTGCAAACATAAAATGGGAATACCAGCGTGCCAAGGAGCTGAAAAAGGCAAAAGAAAAAACTCAGCAGGCAGTGAAAGAAGAACTCTTAACCTATACCAGGCAGGATGCTTATAACATGGTAACACCAAGGGATCTGCAAGTCCCAGCTTTTCAGAAAATTTGCATATTGCAACTATGAACTTTGTGTATTTAAGGATGTCTGAAAAATTCCTATTGTACTCTTGTACTCCTGCACAAATATTGTTCTTTTGAACATGAAGCTGTCACTCTGTGGACAGCAGTAATTCTGTAGAGTGTAGTTGATCGCAATTCCAAGATAACCTACCAATCCACAGTCCTCCTGTGAAAACAGCTGTTATATATCAAGATGATATTAACTGAAGGAGCAGACTGAGCAAAATATGTTGCCTTTTGAAAATTAAGATTTCTTAATTATTTTTTCTAATGCATTTTTTTATTATAATTACTGCAAACATGCTTATGTTTATAAATGCTAGGTTCTGTGGTGAATGATGCATTGGGGTATCAAACATTCTTTTTCTCATACAGGAATTTGTCTGTGAAAGACCAGATGGACAAGTAGAAATGATGCCTGTAAGTCAACAACTCCTATTTCATCTGAAGGAAACCTTACATAAAAACACTTTAATGGCAAACTGTGATATTTCTTTTTTACTATTATTATTAATTTTGTTTTTAAGATTTGGACTCCCCCTGTTGTACCCGAGAATCACAATGATGTCTACACTGATTCTGTTATGTGTCTGATGTACAGTAGTACCCCAATGCCAGAGTCTAAGCTTCCACCTCCGTTTGTCAGGAAGGCACGTAAGCGGCAGAGAACAGATCTGCCTTGTAAGTTGGATTTGGAATTGCATTGGAAGGTGCAATAACATTTTTGTGGGAAATGATATGAAACCTCGTTTTGCAAGAATACCTTCACATTTGTATTTTAAAATTTAGGCATGCATGTATGTTATTTCTGTTAAGCTTGACATTGCTTAGACAAAACAGTAGAATATAGTGAGAGCAGAGGGACTGTGGTTTGAAAACTTGTTATTGTCCTTATAAGTTAGAAATACAGGTGAATGAAATGAGCATGAGCAAAGCAATGATGCTCTGTGTCCTTTCAATGTTATTTATTTTTTTTTAAGCTTATTTCCTTACTGAAGTGAGAAGCTATTTAAAAATGATTGATCAAGTCACATACAATACTAGTAGGCCACAGATTGAAGGTACTTGCATTCAGAAAATTATTTTGAAAGTCTTATCATTAGTCAGATCATTTGTAGCAGTCAGATTTCTGTCATGATCTTTTTGCATGAAGTTCCCTTCTTACTGGAAACTGTACTTTGTCTTGTCAATTAGCTTCAGGTGAAAGAAAGAAGCATTGCGGTAGAAGGATTCCTCCACCTTCACTTTTTGATCAAGTGACTCCAGGAACATTGAAAGCACGACAAAAGAGCAAAGCTCAGAAGGCCCGCTTCTTGGTAAAACAGCAAATGTATTTTGCAAGACCTTTGTCAGCTCACATCAAGTCAGCTGCTGGCACTTGGCAAGATAGTCCTGCATGGCTAATTAGTGAAAATGTGGCACTGTTAAAAGTAAGAATGTCTTCAGAATAGAACTTCATTGATTTAGAAAATAATATCATCTTGAAGCTTATTACAGCTTCTGTGGATCTTGATTAACATGTGTTTATACGTATTTGTATGCTCAAGAAAACATTTAATTGAAGCATGACACTAGCTTTCTCTCTCTCCACTAGGCGGTGAAAGAGTTGCTGGCACTTCCTTTAAACCTTGCTATCCTGTCGCCAGCACAGACAGTGAACTGGGACTTTGTCAGCAATGTTGTTAACTCTTGTAATTATGTTTATCGCTCCCCAGAACAATGCCAAAATCATTACATAAAAACATTTGTAGGTGCACAAGGAAAGGTGAGTTTCAATTGAAGTTTGCATTACATTATGATGCAAACCTGTAACCTACCTGTTGCAGGCTTTTTGTTGTTTTTTGTTTGTTTGTTTATTCCTTATTGCTGTTAGTGGACTATGCCAGTGTTTAATAGGCAGAATCATAACTATATTTAATTTTTTATACAAATAAATACTAATAAATATCTTCTCTGTCAGTATGGCTGCTATAGGATGTATTTTTTATAGTTTCCTTACATTTAAAAATATTAGTTTTCCCATTGCTGTATGAATGCTATGACCTTGAATGTATCACTTTCCACTCCAGTATATTACAAATAAGAAGACAGTGAAGCTATTTATTTTAGCTTTTATTTAAGAGATAGGATATGAATTGTCTTCAGTCATGAATATTGTAAACTGTTTTTTTGAGGGAGAGCATTTGTGACTATTTTGGTACCTACATCTTCAATTTCTACTTGTTCCAGAATATAAATGGTTATCCTCTTCGTGCTAGACAAGCCTATTCTAAAGACAAGAATTCTGAGCGTACTCAAATCTATATGAATCATTTTGAGATGATGACAATGACTGCTAGAAAAAGAAGTTTCTCAAATAGGTTTCTGTAAGTTTACTTCTACCACCAATTATATTTTTCCCAGATTTAACATTTAATCACATTGGTGGCTTGATTGGTGATTTTTTTTTTTGTTTCATCTTAAGCATAAATGTATTTCACGGTGGCATTTCTCTTGTCAGAGATGCTGTGATGACAATCAGCCTTGAGTTAAAGCAGTGCATTTAGTGTCAAAGATCAAATCTGCATTTTGCTGATGTAAAGAAAAGCTTCTAGTACTGCTCTGTGTGATATACCAGGAGAGTCAGCCCAGGCTTTCCTTAACTGTGTTCTTAGGTCCAACAATATAGCTATCACGTTTCTAGGTAGAGAACTGGCTGGAGTTCCCTGCTAATCCCCAATTCCCCAGTTTTGTCAGATTTTAGTCAGAGTTCTGTTCCAGACTTTTAAAATTCCTTGTCTTAAAATGTCACGAATATTAAAACAGTTGCACAAAATTCAGTTAGTGTAAGTTATTTTATTTACTTTCAGTGTATACAACTATGACAAGCTATTTATGTCTGAAGTTGTTTCCAGCTCTGCAGAGCCTATGATGACAATGGAAAAGGTCTGTTCGGTTTTTACAGGTTTTATTCCATTCTGTTTATTCTTTTCAATATATTTTAAAAATTCTTTTAAGTTTCAAATGTTTCTAATAACTTTTTTTTTTTTTTTTTTTTAAAATATAAAAAAAATTGCAAAGGCTGGAAAGGAGGGAAAATTATAAGGGTTTTTGAAAGGCTGAAAATTGTTCAATATGGGATTTGACTGCCTAATCCGCTCTGTCAGTGCCTCAAAGCTATCACTTGTCTGTTCCAGATCTGTTCTCTTACACTTTGGTATTTTAGCAATGTCAGAAACAGGCAACTGTGTTACATATTTTTTTTTTTTTGTCAGGTCAGAATTTTCTGTCACAGTTATTGGTATAGATAATTAGGAATTCATTTCAGCATAAATCTTCACATGACTTCATGGTAACAGCCATGTTCTACTCAAGCCATGCTCTACACAAAGTTAAAACAATTAAAGAGGATTATTGAGTTAGCTTCCTCTCCTTCCCCTGCTTCTGTTGTCATAGGCGTTGCTAGAAGGTCTATTAGCTCCACAGCTGCAGGAGTGGCAGCCTCCTCAGAAGCAAGATGAGGGACAAACAGTGGAGCAAGTTCAAACTCAGAGTCAACCACAATGGGGAGCACAGGTGAGAGACAAAACCATGAATGGCATGTGGTATGTGAATTCAGTTCACTCCTGAAGTTGCATGCAGAGACACATGTTCTTCTCAGCTAAATGATTCTGTAATTCACGTGCACTTATGGCATCTGTTTTGAGTTCAGTGAGGCTTCCTGTGGGACTCTCAACAAATCTGGAGAACTGGGATGCTGAGTAACGAGAGCATTTGGTATTATCTGAGCTGAGGTCATTGGAGATGGACTTAAGTGTAAATTAAAATTACAGTCTTGTTCAAGAATAAAAGAACACTTCGAAGAACAAGTGTAGACAAGTTCCTTCTTAAAGATACAAGGTTTTGGGTTTCATCCCACAGTGGATTTTATGCTTATGAAGAAGGCATTCCATACACAGAGTGGAACAAATGTCTGACGGTACTAATTCTATTGACTAATTTTTTTTGACTGAAGTCTTTGCATCCTCTTCTGTGGTCACTTTGGAACATTTGTAAACATAAAAAATACAATAGTTTGTTTTATGATACTTACAGGCCTCAGGAAGTATGCTCACTCCAGCCACAGCTACATTGCAGCAGATGTCCACAGAACCCGCTATTGCAGCACAGCTGAACCTGTGGCTCCCTGTCAGTTTTTTCAAGCAGAAGCACTCGACAGCATGAGTTGTGACTCTGTCTGATGACAACTGTACACATGCAGATACTTTTGATGATTCAGTTTATGTTAGGTAATCTCTACTTTTTAGTTTTTACTTTACAGTCTGCTATTGAAAATAAAGTCCTCAAGTCCTTAGCATTTTAAAGTCGGCAATAAATGAAAATGTATGGGAGAATAGTCTATCATTAAGTCCTTTACTCTTCAGAAACAGTATATCCCCAGATGCTGTATTTTAAGTGTAGTTCATTTTAATTACGCACAAATACTGATGGTATTTAAAATTACATTTTCTGCAACTTCTTTTCAATTTTATCTTAAACATGTACATGTTCTATACCTCTAGGTAGTAACAACTATTCTTCTAAAAATTAGATTTAGTTGCAAAAAGTTCCAGGAATGAAGTCCTGATCATCAGGTTACAGTGATTTCTTTGGCACGGATGAAATCAATACAGAAGTTATCCTGAGGGTAGGCAGCGGGTACCCGTCTCCCCCTGAAAAATGTACGGCCTGGATTCCAGCACACGTGGCATCATTACTAGCTGATGTTAGAAGTAGTAAATGTATTTCTGTTATGTAATTGACAGCAGTTGTTCTTTATCAGGTGGAATTTTTGCTTTAATATTTTTCTTTACATTTTAGCAAAGCCTTCCCTTCATTCTCAGGCACTGGAGCGGTTGCTCAGGGGGTGGCGGTGTCACCGCTTGTGGGGCTGTGTAAGGGGAGGTTGGATGTGGTGCTTGGGGACATGGCTCGGTGGGTGGTGGTGCTGGTGGGACGCTGGGTGTGCCAGGTGATCCTGAAGCTCTTTTGCAGTATTTTATCGTAACCACGCTACCCAGGGGGATTTTTTTCTTTCTCCCTTGTGTTTCTCTTCACATCCTCGTAGGGCTTTATGCCCATAACAGAGGCGAGCAGAGTCTAGTCAGTTCTGTTAGCAGGCTCTAGCCAGCCAGGTGAGAGACAAGCTTTTATGGGTGATTTTGCCACGAGCCCTACACCGCCGGCAGCACCCCCCGGGCCAGCACGCGGGCCCTCGCCTCACGCCCCCCAGGCCCCGGCCCGGCCCCGCCACAACCCCAACCCGGAGCCAGGCGCAGGGGCGCATGCGCGGGCGGGCGGCGCAGTCTCCGTGCGCTGCGGGGCGGCGGCGCATGCGCGGAGCGGCGCGGTTTGGCTCCTGCCGGCGCTGGTAGCGGCCGCCGCTCCGGCCCCCCCTCCGCTTCCTGCCCGGGGCCCGGTAAGTGCGGCCGGGGCTGGGGGCGGCCGGGCCGGGCCCCGCTCCCCTCCCCACCCCTCCCCTCCGCCCGGCCCTGGCCCCGGGCCCCGTCCCGGGGTGTTTGGAGAGGGCCGGGCCTGGGGGGCGCCGGGCGGGCGGCGCGGGGCCGTGCGGGGAGCCCCCTCCCGCCGCGCGGCGCACAAAAGGCGGCCCCGAGGCCCCTGAGGGGCGGCGCGGTGCCCCCGAGCGGGGCGCGGGGAGGCGGCGGCAGCGCTCGGATCTTAATTGCCTCGCGCCGGGCTAATTAAATAACGGGCTGCCGGGGCCGCGGCGGGAGGGGCGGGTTTGGGGCCCCCCGGCTGTCCCGGGGCAGGGCCGGGGCCGCCCGGTGGCAGCGCCGCGGCCGTGTCGGGTCCGGAGCGCCGAAGGCGGAACGAGAGAGGGAACGAGAGAGGGAACGAGAGAGAGCTCTGGGGCAGACAAAACAAACCGAGAAACAGCAGCGAGTTCCCTTCTGCCTCCCGCTGCTCGCGCTGCACGGCTCCCAGCGCCGATTCTGCCTGTCAGGGCGCGTCGCTGGAAATGTTGTTTTGAACTTCAAAACCAGAATGTTTTCAGGCTTCTGGAAAGCTTGGCTCAATAAAATTGAAACAAAATGCACGTTTGCATTGATTTTAATCTCTGTAAGCAGTTGGTGTTCGGGAGGAAAGTGAAGGCGGAGTGAAATATTAGGCGTGATACTTTCATTTGTTAGGGAGACTTTTCATGACACGTTTCTTGTCCAGGGACTAGAACAATAGAGCCAAATGGTCTATACCCTCTTTTGTCATATTTGTAGTTATCAGTTGACTGAATGTACTTTAGGTTATGAGGAACTGTTCTGGTCTGGAGGACACAGTACTGTGTTAAAAGCATTGAAACATTAGGAGTAAAAAAAAAAAAAAGAGCAGGTATTTTTGATACTGGAGACAGTTTATTCTGAAGTTTTGAAGAAAGGGGAAGACTTTTTTTAAGTTAGTTGTTCCTCTGGTTTAAGAGGAACACATCACTTCTAAACTATTCAATAGCACTTTGTCAGCTAGAATAGCGTATGAGATATTTAAGTGAGTTTGTGGTAATGAGGATTTTGAATAAATTGACTGATAACATAAAACATCTAAGTAACTACAAAGGCAGGATAACTGAGTTCTTACTGTAAAGTATTCTTCCAAATAGTTACTAAATAGGTAAATACAGTTTTGTAACTGAAACTTACTTGAATTTCTGTTTTTATGTATTCCTTTAGCATATAGTGTAAAAAAACCAACAACCCTCGGACTGCCAACATCTGACAGTGAGAATGCACCATGGCAATGGTCCTCAGAATGCCCAGCGCCAGCTCCAGAGGTCCAGGTCCTTCACAGGCAGTGAGGGAGAAGAGCAACAGGCAAACTTACCCCAGTCCCCTGCAGCTTCTTTTGCACCTTCTGCAAGTCCATCTGCGCCCCAGTCCCCCAGTTACCAAATCCAGCAGTTTATAATGAGTAGGAGTCCGGTAGCTGGTCAGAACGTGAACATCACACTGCAAAACGTCGGACCAGTGGCTTCAGGAAACCAGCAGATAACGCTCACCCCACTGCCAATTCCAAACCCGACATCGCCGAGTTTTCAGTTCAGCCCGCAGCAGAGACGGTTTGAGCATGGATCCCCGTCGTATATTCAAGTTACATCCCCACTGCCGCAGCAGGTTCAGTCTCAGAGCCCCACGCAGCCCAGCCCCGTGCCCGTGCAGACGCTACCAAACGTCCGGGCTGGCACTCCAGGCCCCGGCTTGGGTATGTGCAGCCAGAGCCCTACCAGAGGCTTTGTGGATGCTAGCGTGCTCGTGAGACAAATCAGCTTGAGCCCTTCAAATGGCGGACACTTTGTGTATCAGGAAGGGCCGGGAATTGCACAAATTGCTCAAGGAGCTGCAGCTCAAGTACAACTTCCATCTTCTGGCACGCCTGCGACAGTCCGGGAGCGCAGGCTTTCCCAACCTCACTCGCAGTCTGGCGGCACCATCCATCATCTTGGTCCTCAAAGTCCTGTAGCGAGCGGAGCGAATATGCAGTCTTTGACTAGCCCGGGCCACATCACGACAACGAGCTTGCCACCCCAAATTAGCAATATTATCCAAGGGCAGCTTATGCAACAGCAGCAGCAAGTGCTTCAGGGACAGCAGCTGAGCAGACCCATTGGGTATGACAGGACTTCTGGGGGTTTAATAGCAGGAGTTGGAGGACCGAGTGCATTTGGAATGACATCGCCACCACCTCCCACAAGTCCTTCCCGGGCCACGGTACCGCAGGGGCTGTCAAGTCTTCCTCTTGCTCCTACAGTTAATACGGCCGTGAAAAAACAACCCAAAAAACTGGAGGAGATACCTCCGGCCAACCAAGAGACTGCTCAAATGAGAAAGCAGTGCTTGGACCATCACCACAAGCAAATGGAAATTCTTAAGGAAACTTTTAAGGAATGTTTGATTGAACTGTTTTTTCTGCAACATCTGCAAGGGAATATGATGGACTTTTTAGCTTTTAAGAAGAAGCACTGTGTTCCCCTGCAAGCGTACCTGAGGCAAAATGACTTGGATCTGGAGGAGGAAGAAGAGGAAGAACAATCTGAGGTCATCAACGATGAGGTAAGAAATCTGTTTTTTAATGTTTTGGGATAAAAGAGTAGATGTGGCACCTGAATTGTGAAGTATTAGATAATGTGACAGTACATGAAAAATCATTTTGACTTGATGAAGTACAGCAATTTTGTTTGTGGTTGGTCTGAGAGAGCACCGTGCTGCTAGGTGGTATGAGTTGACAGGATGGTTTGAGCAGGCCATCAGATACACATTCCTAAAAGCAAAGAGCAGAGAGGTGACGGGAACTTTTGCTGTCCCAGTTAGTATGTAAGGCAATGCACAAATAAAGACAGCATTGCTATGGAAGCTGGTTCAAGCTATCAGAATGAACACGTATCATAGATTAAATTTCACTTACTAGACTTACACAAACATACGAGTAAGCAAAGCCTCGTAAGAGGTTAACCTTTATTTGGCTCTCGTGACTTCTAAGTAGAGACGTTACTGAAGTTCAGTGTTGCTGTGCCCAGCAGAAAACCCTGAAGTAATCTAATTAGTCAGAGCACGTGAATCGTAATGTGTATGGGTCTGTAGTAATGAATTACTTTACGGAGGCTGTCTTGGAGCTTTGTGCACGTATTGCAGTCAGAAAGATACCAAAAAAATTGTACTTACAGCCTGGATGTTAACAAGCTAACTTTGTTACATTTACGCAGAGGTTCAAAATAATTTCGATTCACCATTTATTAATGGCAAATGATATGAATTAAGTTTGCCTCAAAGAGATGCTGTGCAACTTTCCCTGGGTGTTTGTACCCATTTGTGTAGATGTTGACCTGCAGCAGCAGCCTTCGGGTGCTGGAGCAGTGCCTCTCAGTTACATGGCAAGTGGTTGTGACAGTGCTGTTACAAGTGATGGCACTGCGTAAACAAATACCTTTTGAAGTTTGTAAAAACACATATGGGTGTGTAGTTGCCAGTTTGTATAAAGAAAAACCAAAACTGATTATGTAAATAGACTCATGCTACTCTGAAATATCTATTAGAAATCAGTGTCTTCAGAGAAAATTGATGATGCTTTTAGATATGAATAGCTAGTGATGAAATCTTTAGCTGGAATTCGTGGGAAATTTTAACAGTATAACAGTAAAAGTTTAATTTGTTAATTGTCTTGTAGTTAAATTTCTTGGCCAGGAAAAATACTTGTTTGTACTAGTTACTGATAATTTGGAAGGAATCATTTCTACATATAGTAAAGTAAAAGCTAGCCTGTTGTTGTTATTTATTGATAATGGTATTCAATAATTTTTCACTTGGTTTGTATTTTGTCAAATTGTTTAGGTGTTCTGGTTGGGTTGTGT